GGGCAGGTGCTGAAGCTGCTCCAGAGGGCAAAGGCCAACCGCTCGGTGGCCAAGACCAGCATCAACGAACGCTCCTCCCGCAGCCACAGCCTCTTCCAGCTCCGCATCGAGGGCCAGAATGCCAGGCAGGAGCTCAGCACCTCCTGTGAGTGAGCCACAGCTGGTGGGGATGGGCCATGGGGACGGCCAGAGGGTTGGCAGGGGTCGATCGGAGCCTCCGATGAGGACCTGACCCCTCCTGCCCTCGGCCCTTCTTGCAGCCACCCCGGAAGCCTTATCCGTGCACCGCTTGGTCTCTTGGGGGGCCTCCTGTGTGGGGCACATGGCTTTCCCTCTGCTGGGATAGGAGAGGCCCCTTCTGTGCATTGGGAGGGCTGTGTAGATGGGGGGGGCTATATTCTCCTTACCCACTCTCTCCCCCCTCTTTTCCTGCCCCAGCGGTGTTAAGCCTGGTGGATCTGGCCGGCAGCGAGCGTCTGGACAAGTCCCTCTCCAAAGGAGAGCGGCTGAAGGAGACCCAGGCCATCAACACCAGCCTTTCCAACCTGGGCCTTGTCATCACAGCGCTCAGCAACAAGGTGACCGCAGCCCCCACGGGGAATGGGACCAATCTGGGGGCACCCACCATGCCTGTGTTGCAGTGGGGAGGGGTGGGGTGGAGACAGGCACTCCCGCAGATTTCCTTTCATGTGTCGCTGCTCCATTTTTATTTTTTATTTTTTGCTGTCTGGGAGGATGGGGGGGGCTTGTCCTCTTGAGCACGGTGCAGACTCCTGGCGGGTTCCTTCCTTGCCTCTGGCAAGGAAAATCTTCCATCCCGCTGGGCCCCTTTTCCTCCTGCTGCCTCATTTCTTTATAAGACATGGTTTACAAGTGACTTGCCAACATGCAAAATGAAGACCATACGTTAGTTCTGGTTTTGCCCTTTTGCTGCCACTGGCCTGTACTGGCCATCCATGCGGAGGAGGAGGAGGACTGAGGAGGGTCCGTGTCCAAGACCCCCCCTCCCAATTCCAGACCCTCTCATGGCCCTTTTTTTCTTTCCCCCGCAGGAGGCCCACATTCCGTACCGGAACAGCAAGCTGACCTACCTCCTCCAGAACTCGCTGGGTGGCAGCTCCAAGATGTGAGTCCACCTCAGGCCGCTGGGCAGGCGGGGGGAGCGAGACACCTAGTCGAGACGGGGGGGGCTGTCAAAGAGACCGTTTCTCTCTGCTCGGTTGCAGTTCTTTCCCATCTTTCTCCCAAAACCTGGGACTCCCAAGCTGCTCTTCTGCCCTGGGGGCTTTTTGAGATTTGGAGACAACGAATGGGCCCAGGTGGAAGGAAAGCCAGTGGATTAAATCCCTTCAGGGAGACAGGAAAGGAATGACACACGTAAGCCAGAGCTGACTGTACGGCACAAGAATGACAACAGGTGCCCCCCTTGCATCTGGCTGGGTGCATAGTGGTGCACTGGGTTCATTTGGGGGGAATCATTTTGGATTTATATAGAATATAGGGGTTGCCCCTTTTCTCTCCCCCCCCCAATCATGGATAAGAACGATGCATTTAAAGCCACCTGGTAAACCGTTCAGGCGAGGCTAGCTGTGGAAGATTCACACAGTCTTTCCTGCACAGCTTCGATATCAGGGTAAAGATGTGAGAAAATAATAAAACCCCCGCCACTGTTGCAAAGCCAGCTGGGCACAAGGAGGAGGAAAGTGTGGTACACCCCCAAACCTAGCTGCCTCCTCAAGCTTGCAGTCTTAAGTAAAAAGAACAAGTACAATTAAAGAACAATACATGGAGCACGTTTCAGATTAATAGGAGTTCTGTTACCTTTCAAAAATAACAGTTTCCTGGTTTTTCCTCAAACACCCACGACACTGAAATTTTATTTTAGTGCGACTTTTCTACAGATTACTACCCACCTTTTTGTGTGATCATGGGGTTCCTGAAGAAGTCACTTCCAATCCAGACAGCTCACCGTAAAATCAATTACTTGATCCCAAAAGGTTCCACAATCAGTTCCTTTGCACCCCTTTCGAAATAGTCCACTAGGAGAGAAGGCCTTACGGCTCATGACTGATCGTTGTCTCTTATTGCTGAAAGATCGGCCTCACTCTTTTCCATGACAAACCGAAGGATGCCAGAGCAGGGAGGGGCTGACCTAAGCCTCCCTTGGCAGAGAGTTCCACAGGCTAGGAGCAGCCCCTGAAAGGCCCCGTTTTGGATCCACACCAAACCTGCCTCTGAAGGGCCTCTCCTGCCGGTCTCAAACCCAGGGTAGCCTCGTTGGGAAAAACACAGTGGGAAGGTGCCTTTGTACAGTATGTTCTAACCACCCACCCTTCTTTCTTCTTTTTTCTCTTCCTCCTCCAGGCTGATGTTTGTTAACATCTCCCCTTTGGAGGAGAACTTTGGGGAGTCCCTCAACTCCCTCCGCTTTGCTAGAAAAGTAAGTGGGCTCAGGGTGCGGGCAAGATGGTTTGGGGTTTTCAGTGTGGCTGCTTAAAAGGACGTGGTGGCGCTGTGGGTTAAATCGCAGAAGCCTTTGTGCTGCAAGGTCGGAAGACCAGCAGTTGTAAGATCGGATCCACATGATGGAGTGAGCTCCTGTCGCTTGTCCCAGCTCCTGCCAACCTAGCGGTTCGAACGCATGTAAAAATGCGAGTAGAATAATAGGTACCACCTCGGTGGGAAGGTAACAGCGTTCTGTGTCTAGTCGCGCTGGCCACGTGACAACGGGAACTGTCTTCGGACAAACGCTGGCTCTGCGGCTTGGAAACAGGGATGAGCACCACGCCCTAGAGCTGAACACGACTGGACTAAATGTCAAGGGGAACTTTTACCTTGCTTAAAACGATTCCCCCCCCCCCTTTGAGGACTAACTAGTTGGCAGGAGAGAAAGGGGAGCTCTGTGTGTCTCTGGCTGGCTGGCCTGCTCCCCAGCTGCTTTTGCCTTCTAGGTGAATGAGTGCGTCATTGGTACGGCCACAACCAACCGGAAATGAGTGTGGACGATCATCCATCCATCCGATCATCCACTGGGACAGAGCAGTAGGAGGCCCCGTGGAGGATTCGGGCCCAAGGCGTTTTTTGTGTATGTGTCCATGCAGTGTTTTTCTTTAGGATTCTTTTATATTCAGGTTTTTTTTATAATCGTATATATTAAATTTTTCAAATGAAAAAAAAAACAACAACCCAAACCAAGGGTTTTTTGCTCCTTGTTCAAGGAAAGAAGTTGTCTCTCTCTCTTTTGCTCGGCACCCCTTCTCCGACTCATTCATTCTCTCTTTTTCCGGCCGCCTTCCTCTCTCTGCGTTGCAAGGTCCACGGAACCAACATGGCTGGCTTAGTAGTGGACATGGGGTGGGTGGAGGTGCCCTCTGCTCTGGGCCTCTGCCACCGGCAGAGAGCAGAGCCCTGTTTGCCCCTTCAGAGGGGCTCCTCTGAGCCCAGCCAGGGGTGGGGCAGGGATGACCACATCGCATCTCCCAAGAGCTAGAGTGCAAAAAATCTCAGTCTTGCTCCCGAGATGCTAGAAGCCTGGGAGAAGCAAGAAGACCCAGATCATCGTCGTTCACAGAGCCGTATGTATCATCAGCCTTTCGGACTTGCCCCTACAATTTTTCGTGAAGGCCTGCTGAGGAAGTGGATTTCAGCCACCAAAGCTTATTTTTATTTTTTAGCGGTCCAATAAAAGATACCTCCCACTCTTGCAATTGTGTAATTGTGTCATCTCGGGGAACTGCGTGACCTGTTCCTTGTTCTCTCAGAGGTGTGTTACTGTGCAAGGAAAAAAAGATGCTAAAAGGATCCCCTCTTAGCATAGACCTAGGTATAACAGTTATCCTAACCACTGCCATTTTGCTCCTGATCCCATGACCCATTTAGCCTCACTATTGGTATCTCACCCCTGTATAATGCTTGTCTCAGGGAATTACACAAGCTGCAACATATTTACTACAAAGAAGGATGTAGGTAAGAGAAACATTCCAACCACAAAAGAAGGCATGTGTTCATCACCTGGAGAACAAAGGTGGGTGTGATACTCCTTCCCTGTGTCTGAGTGATCCCCAACCTTGGGCCTCCAGATGTTCTTGGACTACAACTCCCAGAAGCCTTTACTACCACCTCTGCTGGCCAGGATTTCTGGCAGCTGAAGTCCAAGAACATCTGAAGGCCCAACGTTGGGGACCACTATGCCAGAGGACTGTGGGCCTGGTTGCTTTACTCAGCTGAATAAAGGGACAAACGGATCTCTTGTCCGAGCTTAATTGGGCTTGTGATCAGGTGCTTGATTAGCGAGAGCCTACAATGTTTTCCCACAGGCATCAGACTCTACCGGTTGGGTTTCTGCCTGTTTTGAGAGCTTAAAAGCCAAGGAACGTGCCCTCGCAAGGAGGTGGCTGTGGGTCCCTGAACCCTGGCAGGTTGCCCCACAACAAGAGAACCATCTGCAAAACATCGCCTGATGAATTTTTATTTTATTTATATACCGCCTATCTAGTTGGTTAAGACCACTCTAGGCGGCTTACAACATAGAAATACACAATGAAAATATATATATAGCGGTTTTTACATAATAAAAACATGTCAACAAAATAGGGGCAAACAATAGGGGGGGAGGAAAAAGAGGGACATCAGGAATTAACTGGGGGGGAAGGCCTGCCGAAACATCCATGTTTTTAGCTGATTTTTAAAGATACCCAGCGAGGGTACACATTGCCCCCCCCCCAGCGAGCTGTAATGGGGGGAGGCCTTAAGAGGGCTGGCCAATTGCTTGGGGATCCTGTAGCTTTGTTTTGGCGGGAAGCGGCTTTCCGCCTCTTCCCCCCCACCCCCCTCGAGTTTTTGTTTCCTTGCCCTTCACGTGTCGCCTGCACGTGTCGGGCTCCACCAATGGCGACAAGGAATGGGAGCGGATGGAGGCGGGGAAGGGCTTTTTTGGGGGGGGAGGGCAGGCGGCGAACCGGCTATGAGCATGCGCAGAGCGAGCGAGCACGTGGGGTGGAAAGGGAGGACACAGACATGAAAAAACGGAGAGAGGTGCATGTTCTCGACACTTCCGGGTTCAGAATACGCTTTTGAAACTACTCAGTAACACCAGTGAAGAAATAAATAAATGGCCTTGCTGGGGGTGGGTGGGAGAGAAATGAAATGTAAAGCAAGGTTCCCGTTGGAGAGCCAGAATGAATCCATGGCGTGTGTCGTGGACAAAGGTAGAGCTCTTGGAAAGTGTGCATGAACACGACGGGGGGGAGGGCACGAGGAGATGATGGTGGTGGCACAGCCTCGGCCTTAAAAAAATCACCCTAGAGATGGGCTGCAGGAGCGTCCTTTCGCCGTAGAACATGGGACATAAAACCAAAAACCGGATTTGGAGCTTGCACGCCGTGCAGGACGGTGCGGTGTATTCTCGGCGCTACTGCATGGCGTGGAATCGTGCCAGCAACAAAGGAAGAGGAAAGAGGCAACGAAAACAGTTAAGGATGCCCAGAGCTTCTAGCACCGAGCGGGTGACCAAAGGGAAAGGGAAAAATCAATATATTCATATAAAGTAAGGTACAAGAGTTTGGTCAGCACGTTCTGTTGCAGCTCATCCTTCAAGAAGAGAGAGGGGAAAAAGAACAAGAAGGAAAGGGAGTGTATTCTCGGCGCTACTGCATGGCGTGGAATCGTGCCGGCAAGAAAGGAAGAGGAGAAAGGCAACGAAAACAGTTAAGGATGCTCAGAGCTTCTAGCACCGAGCGGGTGATCAAAGGGAAAAATCAATATATTCATGCAATGAACATATTGGTCAGCACGTTCTGTTGCACCTCATCCTTCAAGAAGAGAGAGAGAGAGAGAGAAAAAGGCGCTACTGCATGGCGTGGAATCGTGCCGGCAAGAAAGGAAGAGGAGAAAGGCAACGAAAACAGTTAAGGATGCTCAGAGCTTCTAGCACCGAGCGGGTGATCAAAGGGAAAAATCAATATATTCATGCAATGAACATATTGGTCAGCACGTTCTGTTGCACCTCATCCTTCAAGAAGAGAGAGAGAGAGAGAGAAAAAGAACAAGAAGGAAAGGGGCGGGAGAACGGCAAGGCCTGGAGGCGATCCCTCCGGAGAAGGGGGTCTCTCCGCTCCGCCCCTTGTTTGAAACCTAGCTCGGGGCGTTCAGTGGAGGACGCCATTTTGTTGTACGGAGCCCCTCTGCGGCGTGAGGGACGGGCATGCGCAAAAGGAGGTTCCTTCAGACGCGCCCTTCTAGACAGGCTCCCTGCTATCTGGTCTCCGGTGGACAATCCTAAGAACGCGGAGAAGCAGGAATCCTTCCCCTTGGCAGCCAAGATAGCAGACATTTGGGGAAACACGGCCGGCCTGGGCACAGGCTCCTTGGCCCACCCCCGCAACTTCGGAGGAAATGGAACAGTCCAGGCGGCAGTTGGGCTGTTCAGATCACGTGGCCGCGTGTTGTGGCGGGGCTTTTTTCCCCCCCACGACAAAATGGCGGCGCCCACGGGCCACCCTGGTGAATGGCCAGAGAGGGAGGAAACCAGGGTGGCGTCGATGGAGCGACGCCCGTCTAAAGGAAGGGGGTCCAGGACCCCACCCCCCAAAAAAAGAAAATATATGGAGGAGGACGGGGAGGTCTCAGAGGATTGGTTTTCCATCCTCCTCCGCCCTTCCTCTTCGTCCGTAGAGGAAGATGGCGGCGCCCACGAAGAAGGCGTGGCCGGCACTTCCGCTCATGCGCCCTACGCGGGGAGGGAGAACGGAATCGGTTTTCGGTTGCTGGAGAGCAGGAGGGAAGCGCGAGGCGGAGAAGGACAGCGGTTGGTGGGGGGGGCGGGGAGGATGATTGGGTCCAAAGACGGGAGGGGGTTTCCTCTCCCTTTGGGGTTGGGGCTGAGGATTGTTGGGGGGAGCCCCTATTCCTTGGCCTGGTGGAGGGCGGGGGGGGCAGGAGAGAATCGGGACCCCCCCCTCAAACCCTCCCTCTTTTCCTTGAGGGATCTTGTGCATCCCCCTCCCAGCTCGATTTTGGAGGTTTGTGTGTGTGGGGGGGAATCCCCTCACTCCCAAAGCTCTCTCCCCATAGACCGTCTTTGTTTCATCTCTCTTCCCTCCCCCCCCCCATTTTCTTCCAGCAGGTGCCCGTCTGTGTGTGTGTGTTTGTGGGGAGAGGCCTGATCCAGTCGTTGCCAGGGTGTCGCCCCCCACCATCATTTCTGCTGCCTTTCCATTAGGGATGCGCCCTCCAAGGCCGGCCATCCCTTGCCGTTGATCCCCCACACTGCCTGGCCATGCCTTCCTCCCCGTCCTCCTCCTCCTCCTCCTGCATCATCCTGGACGAAGATGATGATGGGCCCCCGTCTCCTCCTGCGGCTGCCTTCTCCTCGGAACAGGGAACGGTGCTGGCGTCCGGGGTGGCTAGCGGGGAGTCTTCCCAGCGAAAGGAGGAGGCCCTGCTGCCCCAGGTCCCGAGTGGAGGATCGGGCCCTAAGCCCCCCACCCAGGGAAAGGACCCCGCCACCCTCAAAGCCGAGAATGAGCGGCTCTTCGCAGAGGTAAGTGGCACCTCCCAAAACACAGACACTACTGTATTTTGCTTCGTGAACCACTGATCACCTTTAAAGCTTCTTTTTTTAAAACAGAGGGGTGGGTTTTAAAATGCAGATGTGGAAGAATTAAAACAGATAATCTGCATGGAAAATGAACATTTTAGAGCATTTTGGCAAGATGGAATACATAAATTAAGTGAAGAAAGGAGCTGGTCGGGTAGGTGACCTTATCTATAGTGACTCCAATGTGGGCCCCATACTGGCTTCATCACAGCTGTACACAGTCACCCCCCCCTTCACGAGTGCTGTGCTGCCCTTCACGCATGCGCCCAAGTGCGCACACCCTCAGCCCATGGGTCCACGCTGGCAACATTCCTTCTTCCTCTCTCGCTGCCACCAGTGGATTTCTCTTATCCACCCAGTAAAGAACTTTACTTTCACTCTTGCTGCCAACAACAGAGTTAGTTTTATTAAAGGGTACGAAAGGGTAACTCAGAGTCACAGATGGTCTTTGTTCAGGTTCATTAGATCACAATCGTATCCTATTTTATGTTCTACATTAGATCATTTCTTGTTTGCTTATTTTCCCTCCATGCCAGAGCCCCTCCCTGGTGCCAAAAACAGTGCCAGCACCACCCCTACCGCCTCTTCTCCTCCTGTGCAGGGATGTGGACATGGCTCCAGGATGTGTGCCTGGGCAAAGGCAGGGCACTAGGGCACCATCTCACGGAGACCCGCCAGCGGAGGAGAAGGGGGTGGCAGCAAAAGATGGGTTTGGGAGGCACCCTCCGGGAAGCACTGGAGTGACTTGGCTTGCCTGTGCCTCCCTCTTTACTTTTCCTCCCTCCCTCCCTCCACCTGCAGTTTTCGGACTTCTGCGCCCAGCACACGGGGGACCACCCAGAGGTGATGTCCTACCTGGCCAGCCGCCACCAGAAGACCAACCCGGAGTACCTGGCCTCAGTGGAGTTCCGCAACGTGCTGGGGCGCTGCCTGACGCGGGTGCAAGCCCGGAGCAGCAAAGTCTATGTCTACATCAATGAGATTTGCACCGTCTTCAAGGCCCACTCCCAGAAGAAGAAGCCACCTCTGGGCCCCGCTGCCGGCTCCGAGGCCCCCATCACTGAGGGAGCCGCCCCTCCGGACGCGACGAAAGCACAATCCGCAGAGCCGGCCCGGTCCCAGGTGGGCTCCAAGCGCCACATTCGGTACCTGGAGAACCTGCTGCGCGTCTACGCTGAGGAAATTCAGCGCCTCCAGGAGCGGGAGCTGGACCTGGAGGAGTTGGACCGCGAAGACTCGGCATACCTGCAGGAGAGCCGGCTCAAGCGACGCATGATGCGCATCTTCCAGCGCCTGTGCGAGCTGAAGGACTGCAACTCCCTGACCGGGCGGGTCATCGAGCAGCGCATCCCTTACCGGGGCACCCGGTACCCGGAGATCAACCGCCGCATTGAGCGCCTCATCAACCACCACCCGGAGGCCTTCCCGGATTACGCCGACATCCTGAAGGTGATGCAGAAGGCCAACGCCCGGCACAGCCTGGGCCTGCCCAAGCCCCAGATGGAGAAGCTGGCCGCCGAGGCCTTCCGGGAGGTGGGCAGCCGCCTCCAGGAACGCCGGCGCCTTGACCTCATCTACAACTTCGGCAGCCACCTCACCGACCAGTACCGGCCCAGTAAGTGGGGCAACTGGGGGCCAGGGGGGCAAAAGGACAGGAGTCCCCTTGGTTTTGGAGAAAGGTGTTTGTGTGGGACAAGGGTGGGGGGCTTCTGCTTCCTTGACAGGCAACAGAAGAGCAAAAGGGAATCTCTGAAAGTGGGTCAAACCAAGTGGCCCTCGGGTTCAGCGTCCAAATGGGGGGGCATGGATGACCCCCATATGCTGTGCTTTCGAGTTTTAAAGTTGCCCTTGCATCTTGTGCCAATGAGTTCCACAGTGTAACGTGGAATGCGTTCAGTTCTCTCATTTCTTGCCATCCAGCATCTGCAGTTTATGTTATTGGGCCTCGGCTGAGAAACCTGTATCTACTTTCTCAACACCGAGTGTAGCTTTTTACGCTTCCACTGAGTCTCTTTTCAGATTATTTGTTCCTTTAAAAAAAACTGCCTCTGGCTTATGAGCGTGGGATATTGTTTTTGTGTCCACAGTTCAAAACATAGGGATGTGGTCTGGTATTGCATTGCAATGGGATACGCTTGTTGCCGGCCTTTACATAGCAAACACAAGCCTGAAGGTTGACAGGCGCCATCAAGCTGTGCTGTGGGATTCCGTCTTGTTTTTTGCTTCTATTCCTGAAATGGACATCAAGCAAGGGGGAAAAGAGGGGAACTACATACTGTAGTTTTCCGTGTATAAGATGCCCCCGTTTATAAGATGCCTACCCTACTTTTCTAACCCAAAATTCATTTTGATCCCCTTCCCCCTTGTACAGCCATGGGATTGCTTTGAGCCTTTCCCCCTCCTTTTGCTAAGCCCCATGAGACTTAGTAAGCAGAGGGGAAAGCAGGGATCAAATGGATCCTGCAGTGCTTTGATCCCTGCTTTCCTCTTGCTAAAGCTTAGCAAGTGCAGGGGAAAACAGGGATCAAAGCCCTGCAGGATCCATTTGATCCCTGCTTTCCCCTCCACTTGTTTTTTTCTCTCCTCAGCTTACTCAGTTGTGCCCCGCATAGCGACGTTAATTCGTTCCAGGATTAACGTCGCTATCTGGATTCGTCGCTATGCGGGAGGGGAACCAATAGGAACACATTCAACTCTGTTTAATGCGTTCCTATGGGGTGAAAACTCACCGGTAAGCGAAGATTCCCCCATCCAGCCGCCATTTTTGCTGCCTGGTAAGTGAGGGCAGGGCGTGAAAACGGAGCGGGCAGCCATTTTATTCTTCCAGCGGCCATTTTGGAACCGCCTATCAGCTGTTTTTAGAACATCACAATGCAAAGATCGGTAAGCGAAACGTTTACCGATCATCGCAATGCGATTTTCACCCATTGGAATCATCACAATGCAATCGCATTAGCGATCACAAAAAATGTGTCGCTATGCAGATTCGTCGTTAAACGGTGCGCTCATTAAGCAAGGCACCACGGTAATTGTTTTTGCTCACCAGTTACCGGTTCTCATCCAACATAAGAGCAATGGTCATGCGTGTCTCTTAGGTGTTTATTGGTTGGGACACAGAGCAATCTCAGTTCCTAGAAATAACGTGGCTTTAAAAGCTCCTTTGTTTGGAGGAAAATATTGGAGGGCTTCCCATTGAGGATTCCAAGTATTTCCAGTACATGCAACCCAACGCAAGGTGGCCCTAGGCATCAGGATGCCGAGCCGGCTGGACAGCCCAGTGATTTACGTCTCGGGCTGCAGAGCCAGAGGTTAGGAGTTTGACTCCTGCAAGTACAGCCAGCCTGGGTGGCCTTGGGCAAGCTGCACAGTTCCAGGGCGCCCCCAGAAGAAGGGAAGGGTCAACCACTTCTGACCACTCTGTACCTAGAAAACCTTGAACGGGTCTCCATAAGTCCGAATCAACTTGATGGCAGGCAGTTATTATTGTGTTGTTATGTGCAATCAAAGCTACATCTGCCTAATGGCAACCCAAATATAGTAGTTTTTGAGGTGTGTGAGATGTTCGAAGAGTGGTTTACTGCATTCTCTCTCTCTCCCACACACCCATCTCTCTGAGTTGCCATGGCCGTGGCGGTTTGATGCCCAGACTCACGAATACCGACCTGAAATTCTCCTCATTGCACCACACTGGCTTATCCTATTGGGCCCCCAATGGGAAGCAATGCCTCTAGATTTAGAGAAGGGGGTGTTAGGAAAAGGTTTGGGTATTCGTTGCAAAACCTTGTGGCTTTAAATCACTTGCACATACGTGGCAGTGGAGTGCTTTTTTCACCAAAGGGGCCCCCGTGGGGGCTTTAGTCAGACTTGGAGTTGAAGTGGACTGAATTGGGGGCTTGTTGGGTTGTCTGTGGCGGTGGTACGGCAGCCTCGGTCCGACTTGCATGCTGCCCTCTGAATCACTGTTTCGCCGTTCCTTGGCAGAACACGTAGAACATTTCAGATCCAAAATGACCACAGTCTCACTGGCTACCAGGCAGCAGTTCCCAGTTCTGCCGGCACCAGTGGTTAGCTGACAGAAGGAGGATTTTTCGCAGAGACTGAGTGGGGAGGAATAAGGAAGTAAGATCTCTATTCTCTGAAGCTGCCAAGCCCAGCAGTTGAAATCTGAACCCAAAGCCACTCCACTCCATTACCCACCTATGGACCAGTTCACACATGCCCGGGTGAATGAGCCATCTTTATTTGGTGACTGTAAGCACCAGAGTTTCCTCGCAGTGTCTGATGTCCCTATTCTGATTTGTTTCCATTTATTTATTTTGTAAAATTTATATAATGCCCCATAGAGGGACCTGGTGGCGCTGTGGGCTAAACCGCAGAAGCCTGTGCTGCAGGGTCAGAAGACCAAGCAGTCGTAAGATCGAATCCACGTGATGGAGTGAGCTCCTGTCGCTTGTCCCAGCTCCCGCCAACCTAGCGGTTCGAAAGCATGCAAATGCAAGTAGATAAATAGGGACCACCTCGGTGGGAAGGTAACAGCGTTCCGTGTCTAAGTCGCACTGGCCATGTGACCACGGAAGATTGTCTTCGGACAAACGCTGGCTCTATGGCTTGGAAACGGGGATGAGCACCGCCCCCTAGAGTCGAACACGACTGGACAAAAATTGTCAAGGGGAACCTTTACCTTTGCCTATATAATGCCCCAATAAATAGGGACCACCTCGGTGGGAAGGTAACAGCGTTCCGTGTCTAAGTCGCACTGGCCATGTGACCACGGAAGATTGTCTTCGGACAAACGCTGGCTCTATGGCTTGGAAACGGGGATGAGCACCGCCCCCTAGAGTCGAACACGACTGGACAAAAATTGTCAAGGGGAACCTTTACCTTTACCTATATAATGCCCCAATAGGGCATGCACTATTCTGGGTGGTTTATAGCAAGATAAAGAACATCAGGTTAAAATAAAACACGCAATCGATCACGTAAGCTCAAGAGGTCCATAACTGAACAGAGAACGTCCTCTAGGCGTTCCGTATTGGCTTTCTTCCCGGAGCAATAAATGCCCAGAGAACGTGTTGTAAAATAGTTACTTTGATTTTTTGGGGGGGTGAAAAGTGGCTAACTAATAAAAAAGGGAGTCAGGTTCTGGGATTTTCCCATACTTGGTGCCTTTTTGTAGCCATCATAAGACTGGATCCTGTATATCACCTAGACTGCTGACATCGACATCATAGAATAATCAGAATAATTGAGTTGAAAGTGGCCTCTAAGGCCATTGCGTCCAACCCCCTGCTTAAGGCAGGAATCCAAACCAAAGGATACCTGCCAGGTGGTTGTCTAGATTTGTCTTGACTGCCTCCAGTGTTGGAGCACTCACCACGTCCTGTAGTCATTGGTTCTATTGTCGTACTGTTCTAACAGTTGTTTTTCCTGATATTCAACCGAAATCTGACCTTTTGTAGCTTGAGCCTATTATTAGATGTCCTGCATTTTGGGATGACCAAGAACAGATCATCCTGCCCCTCTTCTATGTGACTGCTTTTCAACTATTTGCAGAGTGCCGTCGTATCTCCGCTGAGTCTTCTTTTCTCAAGGCTAAACCTGTCCAATTTCCACTCACCTTCATCTGAACATGCTCTACTTTGCATCCTTTTTAAAGTGCAGTGCCCAGAAATGGATACAGTGCTCTAGATGAGGCCTAATTAGTGCTGAATGGAGGTGAAACTTATGTCTTGCAGTCCCTTAAAGACTATACTTCTGTTAATGCATTCTAAAATGGCATTGGCCTTTTTTGCAGCCACATTACATTGTGGGCTCCTATTCAGCTTTTCATCTACATCAACTTCAAGAGCCTTCTCGCTCATAATATTACTGAGTCAAGTACCCCCCCACCCCACATCTAGTAACTGTGTGTTTGGTTTTTTCCCCCTCTAGGTGTAGAATTTTGCCCTTTTCCCTGTTAAATTTAATTCTGTTGTTCTCAGCCCAGTGCTCCAGCCTATCAAGATCTTTTTGAATGTTGTTCCTGTCTTCTAAGGTACAGTGGTGCCTCGCATTACGACGTTAATTTGTTCTAGCGAAATCGCTGTAGAATGAAAACATCGTAAAGCAAAAATTAAAAAGCCATTGAAACGCATTAAAACCTTGTTAATGCTTTCCAATCGGCTAAGAACTCACCGTCCAGCGAAGATCCTCCATAAGAGCGGCCATTTTCGGGTGCCTGTGCAGTGAAAAATGGCTCCTAAACACAGCGGGGAGCCATTTTGAACACCGGGCGGCTGGTTTGATCGTCGGGAAGCAAAAATCGGTTCCCGAAACAGAACCGATCATCGTGCAATGAAATTCCCCCATTCAAAACGTCATTTTGCAATCGCAACAACCTCGTCGTAGTGCGGATTCATCGTTAAACGGAGCGCCCGTCTTGCAAGGCACCACTGTATTAGCTTTTTCACCTAATTTTGTGTCATCTGCAAATTTGATAAGTATTCCCTTCCTTCTCTCATCCAAGTCATTAGTAAAAAGGTTGAAGAGCGCCAGGCCCAGGACTGAGCCGTGAGGTTACCCCATCTGTGACCTTCTGCCAGTTTGAGAAGGAGCCGTTGATCGTTGTCAACATCCGGGCTGGCCTTTGCTATGTGAAGCCTGGCATCCTTTTTCTGGCTTGCCACGTGAGCATGATATTGCAAAGCAATCTCTGGCCGTTTCCCGGAGGTTTGAATTGTAGACATAGAAGCAAGAGCGGTCATTCATAAACCAGAGTATTTTTTTTTTAAGGATTGAATTTCCTGGATGATGAGAACAGAAGTTGAACCGACATACCATTCACCCAAATTTTACAGTGAAAATAAATCCTCCTAGGCTATGAATTCAGTATATCTCTAGAAATAAGTCTTGATGAATCCGATAGACCCTCCTTCCGAGTAGCCAGCTGAAAGAGGACCATGGTCCAAGTGTGTTTGGTATTTACAGATGGTCAATGCAAGAAGACAATTTTTTTAGATTCAGAAGCATCCAAAATGTTTCTGGAAACAGGTTTTGCAAGAGGTTGTGTCTGCCTTCTGTTGTTTCAGAAGGAAGTGTGACCACGTTTAGTGACATTTATGGGATAGGCAGGATTTATGAAGGATTAATTATGTAAAACAAACATGTTTAAGGTTGTGCATCTTCGAAACAACAGGAGGGATCAACTTCAAATTCAGAACAAACATGTAGCAGGAACTATTTCCTTTTCAGTAAGCTGTGGTGGAATAGCTCAGTGGTTTAGCTCTCTGGCTGCGGAGCCAGAGGTTGGGAATTCAATTCCCCCCTACTGGGCCTTTTTGGCAAGAGGTGGACTTGATGATATATAAGGTCCCTTCCAGCTCTGCACTTTTCAGATGATGATGAGTATGAAAATAGCAATGAAATTTGCCACATACTGTGGAAGAACAGCCGCAAAACAAGTCCATGACGGGGGCACTTTTTTAAAAAAGTTTTTTTTTAAAAAAAGTACTTGTCTAAACTTCTCAAATCTAGAATTGATCGAGCTTTCCTGCCTGCTGTTGCTTTTCCAAAGAAGTTACCAGTTCAGGAACCCCCTTCGGAAGTTGTAGCTTTTTTTTATTTTTATATTTTTTGATTAGTGGTTCCTTCCCATCGGCTGTTTGGACCCATCGTACAGCATTAGGCTTGCATTCTTGTACCCCCGTGTTCCACAGTCCTCCCCCCCCAAACATCCTGAAATGGTGCAGGCAGAAACAGGTAACGTTTGCAGAGAGGCTTATGATGGAGAAGCGAAAGTAGGTGATTTAAAACACACACACACACACACACCAGCATGGAATGGGTCCCTTTCAAAAAGTGGTTCTTCTTAGGTAGCCTGTTCAGCCAGTAGAACAAAGGGCTTTGGGATACTCTGCAGAGGTTTTGAGGCAGAATCCATGAGCATGTAGTGGGAAAATGGAGGGGGGGATTTTTTGACCTGACGTTTCCTCCCCTACACATATGCGCGTGTGTGCGTGCGGCCTCCCCTGCCCCCTCTGCCCTCTTTTTTCCCCTCCTCTGCAGACAGTGATCCAGCGCTGACAGACGCCGAGCTGGCTCGGCAGCTGCGGCAGAACCAGAAGGTGGCCGTGAAGCGCCTCGAGGAGGTGATCACGCAGTTCGCGGACCTGCAGGACCAGAGTCGGGAGGCAGAGTGGCGCCACCAGGAGGAGACCCGGGCTCAAGCCGGGAGGTGCCGACTGGGGGAGCCGGCCTCTCCCGGGGAGGCTGCTTCGGGGTCTGGAGCCCAAGAGGTACTGGGACTCAGAGAGGGGGGCCGTCTTGCCTTCCTTTGTGGGTGTGTGTGTGTGTGGGGTTGAGCCTAGTCCTAAGGGGATGCTTGGCCCAGACGGTTTGGCGCAGTCCCAGGGAATGAGTCTGAAGGCAAGAGGGAGTGGATCAGGAGGGCTGGGGGAGGCAGGGCCCCCTTCCACCCCTTGCAAAGCCATCCCCCCCATTGCTTCAGAGATGTGATGCGGGATTTGGGAGGGAGCAGAAGCGGAAAAGGGAAGGATCCGGAGGTGGGGGCGGCGAGAGAAAGGCTGTCTGTTTCTCCCTTCCCCCCCTCCCCAGGGGCAGTGGGAATCGGTGATCTGTATCTGGAGCATCTCGGGGTGTTCTCTGTGGATTCGAACACAGGAGAGTGGTTGAGATACAGAAACCAAGAGTGTGTGGCACAGTGGCCACAGGGTTGCTCCAGAACACGGCGCCGGTGGCCCTGTGTGTGTGTGTGTGTGTGTGTGTCTGACTGCGCATGCAGTTGGGGGCGGGAGGCGAGGTGGCAGAACGATCAGGCCGGAAGGGGAGTTTTTCCTGGGGATGGGGGGGGGCAGGAGCAGGGCTCTCCACCTGAGGCACCCTCGCCCCATCTCTCTGCTCACTAGGGCAGCCAAGGTGCTCCAGAAAGAAGCAGACCGACAAAGGAGGAGGAGGAAGAGGAGGAGGAGGAAGAGGAGGAAGAGGAAGAGGAGTCCTCGGAGTCAGATGTGGAGGTGGACCTGGCCACGTGCTTGGAAGGAGGAGAGGAAGAGGAGGGCCTGGCCCCAGGTGGGAGGAACACCCGGGGCTGGGGGGGAGGTTGTGAGTCTGTGTGTGTCTGTGTCTCCCTGATGCCTGATGTCCATGCCTGACCTTCCTTGTGGTGAGGTGTGTGGTCTACCTGTCAGATCCCGCTTCCATCTTGCACCCCTTGGACCGACCAGCTTAGCTCCTGTGCTTTCATCCCGACCTTCTGGGGACCCTTAAATAATTATTTGTTTGGCCGCAATAGACATCGCCCCGGTTGCCTTCGTTTCCCCAGCAGTGATTCCCACTCCCCCCCTCTCTGCTGCTTCTGTCCAGTCTCTACAGGTGTGCAGTTCCCCCCCCCAAAAAAAACTCTCCCAAGGTCTCCTTCCTTTGGCAGACCTGGGTTGGTTGTCTGGAACCCCCACCTAGGGTGGCTGGTTGGATAAGAAGCGTGGTGTCCAGCAGGGCTTACTGGGGGCCGACGCATGTCTGAGAGTCTGTTTGGCTGTCCAGCTGATGGACGGATTTTCTCTCCTATCGGTTGTGCACCACGGACTTTATTGAAGCCTCCTCGAACACAGCTGCGGTCTCTTCCTGCCCGTCTATGGTCTCTTGGATCATGTTCGGGGAGCGGAAGAGGAGCCCCCTTTATGTCTGTCTGGGCCTGTCCAGATTGGCCATTTTGGGTGTCAGATGGATCAGGCTACAAAGGGTCTTCTGTTGGGCATCACGGGAAGGCTGGGCAGTGATGTGCCATTTGGCGTGCTCCTTCCCTTCAACCAGCAAACGTCCCTTTGTTGCTCGATCAGATGTTAGCTAAGCCCTTCCCCTGATCACCTGTGTAGGGTCAGGGGAAGTGAAATTATAATTCTTTTTATATCACTTCTCCCTCTGTCAATGCTGTTCTGTTTTCTCCCTTCCCTGCTTTCCCTTCCCTCATTTTCCCCCACCCCACTTTTTCTCTCACTCTCCTCCCAAGTCTGCAGCCATGATGAAGGCTGTGATCTTCTGCTTAAACAGGCTAAACAATGAGCATGCCCAAAAGAATGCATGCCTACCGCTGAGCCAGAAAGGTGCACAACAGCTTGTCATGGCACCCTTCTCTGAGCCTTTTCCTCAATGGAACCTCCAGAGCCCAGCGCTTTCTACTTCAAGGTGGAGGAAGCCCCTGAGAAGTGTCCTGAACTTGAACCCGCACCCACTGAGGCTCCAGGAAAGGGGCTGCCCCTTGCAGTAGAAGCTGCCATCATCCCCCAGAAATCGAAACACAAAATCAACACTCTTAACATGCCTCAAAACATACCTGGCAGTCATGGTCGAAGCTTGGCTAAGCACGAGATTTAGGTGACCTGAGTTTCTCTTAAAAGCATCCGCCAGACCAGAAGTTAAAAGTTTTATTTAAAAAGAAATAATAAAAAGAAAGGTTAAAAACAATATGGAAATCGTACCCGGCAAAAGCCAGAAGTAGAAGGGTTGCAAGGTTATGAAAAAACCAAAGAACAAGTTTCTTGAAAGAGGAGCAAAGGTTACCCAAAACGAGGAAAGAAAATGAACAAGCAGTTAATTCAAGCAAAATAACAGCAAACAAGGACATCTGATCTGTCAGGGAGACGGACCTCTTTCTCTCCTCGGTCCTGTGATGTCCCATCTCCTGAATCCCTTCCTAAAGGAGGGCGCAGCTCGTTGCCCTTCTCGGCTGCGGTCCGACTCTTCGTGGCTCGAATCTGTTTCCGGAGGAGGAGAAAACTGGGAGAGGAGGACCCCCCCCCAACACCCGGTCTGGAAGTCATGGTGTGGGCCTGTGTGTGTTTTTGGAAGCGCCGTGGTTCCCCTGAAAGACCCTTCACCTTCTGGTGGTGGGACAGGATTCCTGACTTCTCTCCTGGAGGGGGGGGGCGAGGGTTGCGCTGTGGGCCCCACTGACCCCCCTCCTCTCCTTCCTCCCCGCAGACGACGAGGCCCTGGCTGAGGAGGTGGAGGCTGACCAGTGCATGGACCTGGAGGGGCCAGAAGTGGCTCTGTATTCCTCCGTGGAAGAGGAGGAGGAGGAAGAGGAGGAAGAAGAGGAGGAGGATAACGAGGAGGGGCCTGAGGTGAGATCAGCCGGACCCCGAGAGGAGGAGGACGATGACGACGTGGTGGTGGTTGTGGAGCAGGAGGAGAAAGAGGAAAAGATGGCTAAGCTGAGCAGGGCAGGCGTCGGGGCCGACAGGACGTCCCCCGTCCTCATCCAGTCCCCTTCCCAGCAGTTCCTCCCGCAGATTGAGGCGTCCTTGCCCCTGGAGGCTGGCGAGACGCCCCCTCCCTCGCCACTGCCCCCTGACCGCCTCGTCCACAAGCAGAAGGAGCCCCAGCCCCCTGTCAAGCAGCCTCAGTCCCTGGAGAACGGGGCCACTCGCCACCCGGACATCACCCCCCTCCGGAGTCTCAACGGGCAGCCCCCCATCAAGAAGTCCCGGAAGGAGCAGCGGGTGTCCAACAGGTGAGGCTGGAGGGCTGGCGCTCGCAGGACGACAAGGCGGCCGCGGGGGAAGCTTTTCATTCCGCAGGTCCCCGAAAGCGGTCAGGCTGTTAGGGGTACAGTGTGGGTGAGCGGGTGGTCGGAGGAAGCCTCAGAGTTCAGCGCATGTCGGTCCTGGGGCTGCACCCTGGAGCATGCGCGCTGGGTTGCAGATGGTGGTTTGGGAGAAGATGGAAGCCACAAGGGGAATGCCCGCAAGAGCAGCGGTTTCCCAGCCTTGGGTAACCCAGATGTTTTCAGGCAGCAAGTCCCAGAAACCCCAGCCAGCACAGCTGGTGGTGAAGGCTTCTGGGAGTGGCAGTCCAAGGACACCTGGTTGGTGTCAATGAACTTGACAGTCCTTGTCCTCCTACCCCTTCCCCGCTCCCTCACCCCACCCCGTGCGCAAGTAGCAGCTGCGTTGAGGTGCCCAGCAGTGGCTCATTGGAGGAGGAAGAGGAGGAAGACGACGACGAGGAGGTGGTCCTCTTTGCTTCGCTGCCCCCCCGAAGCCCAGCCCCGGTGGCCGATTCTACCTGTGCCGACTCACCGAGCCTGGGCCTGGTGACCAGCTCCCAGGGCAGTCCTCTGGCCAAGCCTCAGCACCAGCAGCTCCTCGCCAAGGTTTGTAAGGTAGGCAGAGGGGAGAGCTGTGTGTCGGGGGGGGGCGATGGGACACAGGTGAAGGTGGCAGGACTGAATGCTCCTCCTCGCCCCGGATGATCTGGGAAAGTGGAGGATTGGGGCCGGCAAGAAAAGAACAACAACAACAAAAGGGCTGCTCCTTAGGGCTTCCTGCCACCGTCCTGGAGCAGCTGGAGAGTCCCACATCCAAGCTAGGAAGGACTCCCACCCCCTCTTATATTTTCTGTATGTTTAGGGTTAAGTTTGCTTAAACAACATGTTCGTTCAAGTGGCGATCATGTCGAGTTAAGTTTGTCTTCTTGATTACTTGGATGGTGATGATAACCTTAACAAAAAACAAACCTCAACATGGTCTAAATAGACTATAAAAAGGCATCTGGCTCATTGCCACACGGCTGGATTAACACCTGCCAAAAATGATAATGACGTGGGTGGCGCTGTGGATTAAACCACAGAAGCCTCTGTGCGGCAAGGTCGGAACACCAGCAGTCGTAAGATCAAGTGAGCTCCCGTCGCTTGTCCCAGCTCCTGCCAACCTAGCCATTCAAAAGCACGTAAAATGCGAATAGATAAATAGGTACCACCTCGGTGGGAAGGTAACGGCGTTCCGTGTCTAGTTGCGCTGGCCACGTGACCACGGAAACTGTCTTTGGACAAACGCTGGCTCTACGGCTTGGAGACTGGGATGAAGAATCTGATAACAGCAGATGTCAACTCTGCCAAGAAAAAGATGAAACTGTGTCACACCTCATTTGCGAATGTCCAAAGATTGCACAGATTACAAAGTTAGATGTGATAGAGTGGCAAAATTAGTGCACTGGTCATTGTGCAAAAAAATATAACTTGCTGGGCTCCAAAAACGCATGGAAACATCAGATAGAGAAGGTGTCAGAAAATGAGGAAATCAAGATCTTGTGGGATTTCCTGATCCAAACGGACACACCTTGAACATAACATACCAGACATGGAATGAAGAAATGTCGATCATTGACATTGTAATTCCAGGAGATGCCAGAGTTGAAAATAAACAATTGGAAAAACTAGTCAAGTACAGGGACCTGATAATTGAAACATTTTGACTCTGGAAGAAGTACACTTCAGTGGTCCCCGTAGTCATCGGGGCTTTGGGAACAACATCAAGAAATTTCACCCAGTACTATAAGCAGTTGCAGATCTCAGAAATCACACCATCAGAGCCACACAAAAAAGGCAGTATTGGGAACAGCATATACAGTGGTGCCCCACTTGACAATGATAATGCATTCCAGCAAAATCGCTGTACAGCAAAATCGTCATCAAGCAGGAAAAAAACCCATTGAAATACATTTAAAACCGGTCAGTGCATTCCAATGGGGGAAATACCTGATCGTGCAGCGAATATCCTCCATAGGGCGGCTATTTTCCGCTCCCTGTTGTGCGAAATGAGGTCAGCAAAACAGCGGGGAGCCATTTTGAGAGCTGCTGATCAGCTGTTTTAAAATCGTCATGAAGCGAAAAATCAGTTCCCGAAGTAGGGAACCGATCGTCGTAAAGTAAAAAAAAACCATTTGAATCATCGCTATAGTGATCACGAAAATGTCGTCAAGCGATTTCATCGTCTACCAGGGTAATCGTCAAGCGGGGCACCACTATATGGTGTTGATATTTAACAGATACAGTACTTAGGTTTTTGTGTCCTGGCTGCCTTTAGCCAAGTGGTCCTTATGAAAGGAATGTTTCTCAACGAGACTATATTTAAGATTAGCTCAGTCAGAGGGGAAACTTCCCTTTCGGACAACCAACGCGGTCCAGTGATGAGGGGGATAGTCTCGTTCCACTCCAGAGCCATCTCAAGGGCCCGGTTGTGTCTCAGATGTTTTTTGCAAAATGCTGCTTCCTCCCCATCATTGGCCGCCCTGAGACTTCTCCAAGGGACCTCTCCGTGTCAGAAAGATGGGGACCGTTTGGGCTTGAGATAGGGAGATGGGGCAGCTCAGGCATGGACATGGGAGAGAATCCTGTGCCCCACGCATGCTCTGGCTGTTCAGGAGAGCAGCTGGGATGAATGCGACAGGAAGAGGCATCTTTTCATGCTCTCTGATCCCCTCCTTGTCTTATTTTCTTCCTTCTCCTCCCCCCCCCCCTCCCCCCTCCGCCCAGACCAGTGTGGCCACGCAGTGCGATCCGGAAGAGATTATAGTCCTGTCGGATTCAGATTAGCCGCCCGTCTCTTTTCGACGTGTGCCCCGGGACACCTTGCTGGGCGTGCTGGAGGCAGGACCCGCTCTTGACTCACCGAACTCTGCCACCGGATGGATGGATGGACGGAACCATTCACTTCTGTGGACCGCAGAAGGCTTTCGTGGACAGGCACCGGGATGGGTAGCTGGGCGGCGGGTGGGAGGACACGCAATGGGAATGTTGGGTTTTTTCCCCCCTTGGAAGTGGTTTTGTGTATTTATGCTCACTCCTTTTGGGAAATTTTTTGAAAAAAAAATATGGAGAATAGAAATAAAGAACTATTTTTGTGTATTAAGCACTTCTGAGTGTGAGTTACAGGGAGGGGGAAGCAAGGGGGGTGTTTGTCAAAACAGGGCAGTGTGGAAAAATTCCCTGGGGCTGTGACCCCTTTCCCTTCCTCCAGTTCAGGGGTTCCCTCCCCCCATGTGTAGAAGGACGGAGGGGAGCAGGAAAAAAAGAGGTGGCCGCCTCTCTTCTGCCTCCTGACCCTGTGCGAGTAGGTGAGCTAGTTCTTAGGGAGGGTGCATCGGGAAAACCTTGCCCTCCGTAACCTGCCTTGTCGGTGTGGTGGATGGCGTGGCTTTACGGAGGGAGCGGCCGCGGGGCTCATCCCCTTTGGATCTGCCTGGATTAGGAGCCGCTCAACAGTCCTCTAACCCTGGCTTGTCTGGCTCTTCTCCCAGAAGGTCCTGGCTCCTTGAAGGATACGATGTCTGGGCAGACACACTTGCACAGGGATGGGCATGTGCTTCTTTTAATAATATAATGATCATGTGCTGTGAAAAGTCGATTCCAACATATGGTGACCCTTTCCAGGGGCTCCCAGGTAGAGAAAACTCAGAAGTGGTCTCCCCTTCTTTTCTTCTGGGGGCGCCCCGGGATCCCTGTGCAGCAGCTGGCCCAAGGCCCCCCCCCAGGCTTGGCCCTCTTTTGCAGGAGGCACGGTGGGGAATCGAACTCGCACCCTGCAGAAATCAAGGCGGTGCTGGTGGTGTTGCGGGACAGACTAAAGAGAATAAACTGCATTTCCAGACAACTGGTAGAATCAGTGCAATGGATTCCCTCCCCCCTCCCCTCTAGATGGTCCTCACTTGCAAAGAGGAAGGCCAGCTTTTATTTTAATTTGCAACAAAGACCAAACAGGTTTTCCCTCGCCTACGTCACCAGGGGGCGTGCCTTATCCTCCTGCCACTCTTAAAAGCCGGTGCCAAGCAGCCTCCCTTTAAAGGCGCGCTGGCCCTTTTAAAAGGCGGGCGACGCCCCGCGCCTGCTCGCGCGCATGCGCCTGGTGGGGCGGGGCCCCGTTCTTTCTCCGGTTGGTCGGAGGGCAAAAAACCGGGCCTCCTTAAAGGTAACGCGGCTCCCA